CACACACACACACACACACACACACACACACACACACCTTAAAGCAAACATGAAGTATTTTTACATTAGATCTAATCCCAAGCATGACAACTTTTTGTTTTATAATTCTCTTCTGTGGTTCTGTGAGGAAGTGGTGGCAAAAAATAATAAAAGGGACGGAGAGAACCACAGGGTTGGGGTTAGGGGAACAGTGATGGGGAGTGGAACCTAGACGTAGCCAAAGGGCCATGGCCATTAGCTGGGAAAAGCTCCCCCTCTCCCTGAGCAGGGACTGAATTTCCAGGAAGAGATAGTCCTCCAGGTCTCAGAACCCAGTGCTGACCTCATGTTCCAATTCTCCTGCCTTCTTGTCCACTGGCTCCTGGTTCCTTGGGATGTTTCTGCTCTCCTCAGGATCACTTCAAAGTTCCAAATCAAATAATCATGTGTCCAGCTGGAGGGGAAGTCAGAAAATCAGGAGCCTCTTAGTGAAAGATAGTGGTGTGTATCGAGTCTGACACCAAGCTGACCTTCCCACTTGAGGAAGAGGAAATGAGTTCAAGTGGAACACACTGACACCCTACTCAGCTGCTCACATGCCCCAGAGCAGAAGGCCTCTCAATTGCTTGATGCTTCCATCTGGGCCGGGACCAAGGATAAACACTTCTGGGAATCACCCAGCCACTGGGATGCGTTGGAAAGTTCTATACCCCCATTACAGCCCTATCCATTCATTCTCACACCCAAATCTGGTTCGGCTCAGCTGGACTGGAAGAGTTTTAAAATAAAACATAAAAACAAACACTACTGTAGTGCTTATGCTGTGGGCCAAGTGCCGTTCCAAGCCCTTATATACAATAATGTTTTTAATCCTCAAAAGAGCCCTATGGGGGTAACCCTATCATCCCTATTTTACAGATGAGAAAACTAAGGCACACATTTGAACCCAGGCAGTCAGGCTCTGGCACCATCCTCTTAGCCAGCTCCCTACGCTGCCCCTCAGCAGAGCATCAAAAGCAGTGTTTTGCAGGCAGTGCGCACCTGGTGAATCCATCCCTCCTTTGACTTAGATGGGCAGATACCAAAAAGTAGACCGGATGGCCAAGGCTAAACACTCCCGGTCGCTTGCCCGTCTCCCAGGACAGGGCTTGGGATGAGGGAGCCAGGCTAGAGGGGGAAAGGCAGGGGACACAGGCAGTCCATGGCATAGAGGAGGCACTGGGCAGGCAGCAAGAAGCAGTTTGGCTTTGGTTTTGCCATTCACGTGCTACGTGCTCTTCAAGAGGACTTCCATCGTGCGTAAAAAAAGTTTTTTACCAGCACCTTTGGAGAAAGCTCAACGGGGACAAAGCTAGGAACCTCATTAGTCGGTCTCCTCTTCCTCCCTATTTCCTGATCACTTAGGAATGTGAGACCTCCTCGTGCTTCCATTAGTAAAAAAAATTACTGCTATCCAAAACAACCAATCATTGACTAGGCTCTGGATTCTAGTCTCGTAGACTTCCCAAATGGGCAGCTCTTAAAAAGCCAGGTTGGGCTAGCCTGTTTCCTCTCAGATACATACTAAGCACAGCCACAGGCAAAGCACCCACTGGTGTGTACATATGGAGGACACGAAGGCAAGTAAGCCACAACTTGTGCCTGTCCTCAAGGAGACCATACTACGGTGGAGAGGGACGGAGAGTCTACAAATACCTATAAAATATATGTAGGCCCAGCTCAACAGGGCAGAAAGAGGAAGTGGAGTTTTGCAAGAGATTCTGTCTTTGCTTCAAGATAGGGGACGGAAAA